AATATTTTACAAGTAAACCCGATAAAACTCTCTTATTACACATAACTCTGAACATTCTTAACCCACTTTTTTTTTATTCATTAACATTTGATCCATCTTCTCGCCGCTCTCCAATTGTGAACCACTTTTTTCCCTTCTCTCATCTGCACCAGCAGAGTTTTTTCCATAGACTACCACATTTTTCATATTAGATTGAGGCAAGATTATGCTTTTATTAAAAAATTTATGGTTAAATAAATTATGACCTAACTACAATGATTTTAATTTATGTAATTCAAAGCATTAAATTTCATTTTCTTAATAGTTTATCAAATGTGACATTGAGTTTTTTTAACAATACCTAAGATTAAAGTTAGTCTTATAAACTAATCGATGAATAAAAGTTTTTTAAAGGATATTTTGCTAAAAAGGATAAAAAAACGAAAATCAAAGTAAGAGATTGAGATTATTATTGAAAAATATGGCATAGAGGGTGCTACTTAGCATAAGTTTGGCCTTAATGCACAACATGTAGGTTGATCGAGGGTTTCATTTATAATTTTGAGAGTCATTCTAAGAAGAGAAGTTGATACCTATCCACCTCATAAAATTTTAGAGATATTCAATATTACAAGTGGTCAAGGAGATCATGCAATTAACACGTGTTTCTGAAATAATGGTGGTGGTGATAATGATAATGAGTTGTGATTTCTTATATACTAAGATTTGTTAAAATTGGTTTTTGTAATCTTGTTGAAATAGAAGGACATAACTATTTTTTCATTGTTTTGTTAGTTCCACTTATTTTGGCATAGTAGTTTTATTTCTAATCTATAAATAGAGCAGTTGTTACGTTCTTCAAATGTTGAGCAATTAATAGTTGATCTCTAATTTGATTTCTAGGCTCAGTATAGATCATAAAAACTACCAAACTTAAACACCAATTTCAGTAGCAATTGGATGTGTTTGCGACCACACTTTTCAACAATAATCCATCGTACTATAGGTTTGTCTTTAGGGGCATTTACATACAAACCGTACAACTGTTATGTATTTGCAAATTTACCTAATCTTTTATATTTACATGCATACAACTCAATTTATTAATGTTGCATCAAATACGTCACTATTATTAATTGTTAAAAAGTGAAATATATATTTTCATATGTAAGTTTGTACAAGTAAAAGGTTGTAAGTCTAAATATTGAATTTTGTTATGGGATGTTATATTGGTTTATTTATATATTACATAATAAGGAAAGTTAATAAGTTTACTAATAATGTTGATCGTATCATTTAAATTTTTAGATATATGCTGTGTGTTTTTTATTAAATTTACTCAAAATTTTCTTAAGAAAAAAAAAATCTTAACATGTCGTGTCGGGAGAAAATATTATATCAAAAGTTTTCATGCAGAAATGCACCAGAACTCCAATAAATTTGTGTCATGTCAAACGACGGACTCACAAAATTATAAAAAAAAAATTATACTTTAATCTATGGTCTGCCTCTTTCAGACATGTGGTGCAATTTCATTGAAATATTGATGCATTTCTACATCATGACTCCTAATGTAATATTTTTTTCTCGTGTAACGCTGCATGCTAATGGAATATTGAGCCGTCATTAGGTTTCTGCAAATATGTTGGATGAATAATATTAGATAGATAAATATAAATCTACTTAAGAAATTATATATAATATTGTTCATAATAATTATATGTAGCCTTCCAAAAGACTAATCGTATCCCACATAAAGAATTCTTCAGACAAATGGAAAATTATTTTAGACGAAAAATGGGATAAATTTATTTTTGCATGAACGTCAATGCATATTAATTAAAATCTTTTTTTTTTTTATTCCCGCAAAAAATTTGACACGAGCTATGTATATGTATGCATGCATGTATGTATGTATTGACAAAAATAATGCCGTATTTCAATGTATTATTCGCTTGCAACTATATGTATTTTTTCATAATATTTTTTATGAACGGTAAAAATATTAATTTTAAGAAAGAAAAAGGTGATGTGTCCATTTGGCTCGCCGCAATGAGCACCGAGTCTTTCCATAGTTCTAAAGAGTAATATTTAACTTATCCAGTGCTTCAGTACCAGGTTAACATATACGTTATGAAAAATAAATAATTCGTTTTATTTTTTTTTTTCATTAATTATGTTGAATTAGCTTTACCCAATTAAGGGTGTATAAAACTTGGGACTTTCAAGTGTTTGTTTGTATTCAATTCATTTGATTTTTTTTTTTTTTTTTTTTCTGATTGTGTTGTGTTCAAAATAACTTTGCGAATAACGTTCATATTTGACTCGATTTGAATTCCTTCGTTCATTTTAGTTCGTGTTTAGTCTAAAATTAACTTGAATGATTTAATAAATAGTATTATTTGACATTTTTTTAATAATATTATAAAAATTTAATATAAAATATTATTTATTTACTTTTAAAAATAAGCTGAGTCAAAATAAGCTGAATATGATTGAGCATAGTTTGTTTGTGTTCGACGAGTTTATCAATCCTACACAATATTATTCATCCTCGACTCACTTGATATAGCTAATGGAACTAATATGACCTATTTGGCGAGCCAAAAACTCGTGAAACATGAACTTTCTTGGACAGCCCCAGCAAGGCCTCATGCTGAAATAAAAAAAAGGAGAGAACCATGTAGCTGAACGGGCTTATTGACATCAAAATAAGCATAGCAAATATTATAATAAGATTTTATTCAGAGAAATAAGAGTTATTATTCGGGTAATAAAAAATATGGTACATGCATCCCACTTAATCCCTGTCTATTTACATATTCAATGCCTCAACATTTTATATTTATGTTATTCAAAGCTTTCATATCACATTAAAAAATCAATATTTTAATTTTAGAATGTAAAATATATATTGAAGTTTGATATATAAATACATAAAACTAAATGACATGTAGAAATGTCTTATAAAAAATAATATAAGAAGAAAAAAATGGAAGGATGAAGATATATAGAATAAAGTATGGGAAAGTTGGCTTTAATATTCTAGAAAGACTCATTGTGAAGAAAGTTTCCTAGCATGCAGGAGAAATTATATATGGTCTGGATGCACTGCGGCGATCCATGACATGTGACCTTATTCAAGAGAAAATATTATATCCGAACACCGCATGTTTGGACAACCAACCACCGACAGTCATGTCATCATATACATTATCGGACAGATAACGTGACAGCAGTCACAGCTAAAAGCTCGTAATAACTTTATTTCTGAATACAGAGGCAGGCAGGTGGACTTTGGAAAGAAAGTTTAATTTGTCTTGTGCGGTTCTTCTCCTCTCATTACGATATGGCAACCAAACCCGGAGAAATTTAGCCTACGAGATGGGTGCTGCGCTAAGACTGGGGCATAGTTTAGAAATAATTATCGGTTGAACAGCTTAGGAAATGTGAAACTTATGTACTTTTTTTGGAAATCAATTCCTGCTTATGGAAGCCATTACTTGGCGAAGAAATCGTTTTTTTGGGGACTTTTGTTGTCTTGTCCCATGACAATGCGTCAGAGATTGGACAATTGTCCCTGAAATTTATAATTCTGTTGTATAAAACATAAAATTTAATTTTTTTTTATGAAGTTTATGTAACCTAGTAATTTTATCCTCTCCTTCTTCCATATATATATATTTTTTTTACCAAATATTTAAAAATAATTAAATATTTAATGATTCTATGTTATACAAAAATAATATAGAAGTGTAAAGATTCACACAAAAACAATCAAATACAAAACGTCCATAGAGAGAGATTTCACTAGCATCAGATGGGAAGAAACAAAAACGGCTTGAGGTTACAACTCAACACTTCTCCATATAATAACTCTCACATGAATCTTATATTCTTTACGTAGAGGAGGATTGGGTCATACAATAAAAGACCAAAAAAAGTATATCAATTATAATATACCCGCCAAGTAAAAATCATAAATACAACATTTTACTCATCCTAAAAAAATAGGATGATTTCTGAGCCACAAAGTGAGCCCTTATGCTTTTAGGGTCATGAAACAAGAGTGTAGTAATGAAAAAGTTCGCTTAGTTTAAATTGTTGTTTCAACTTATTTTTTCTTAAATGATAATAATAATAATAACAATAACAATATCCGTTTACTTTAAATAAATCAGTAGATCATATAAAAAATACTAAAAGAATAAGCAACCAAGAATATGAATAGAGAAATAAAATAAGAGAGAAGTTTTCAGATTGCGGCTTAGATGGTTGTCCCATGATTAGAGCACACTGGAAGGTCACAAAAATTTTCTTTTTGAAATTAATCACACTAAATTATTGTCAGAAAGCCCAGAATGATGCCTAAATATGACAAATATCTTGTTATTTTTAAGTTTAAATGTCTAATGATAAAAAAAGACCACTCAAAAGGAAAACTAAGAAAATGATTGCTGTAAATTAAATAAATCGAGTAAATTTATCGCCATCAAAGGATTTACAAAAAACATGTCAAGTTTCCAATTTCAAATGAAGGATGAGATAACTGATAATATAACTGCAAGATGAAGCGTCCAATGACATCATTCTTCTAAATTAGTGAGTTGTGTAGAGTTCGTTCTAATTGAGCCGGCTGACCTTATCAATGCATATATCATTTCTTTAACAATTATATTTCAGAATAAACTCAGCTAACAATACTAATAATAAAAGAAATTAACATACATACCATACAATTCTCATATATTTACAACATACCCCTCACTACTACTAACTTCTTAAAAGTGAAATATATATTTTCATACATAGATTTATAGTACCAAAATGTTATAAGCCTAAATATCAAACTTTAGCTGTCAGATATGTAAATATATAAGACTTGGGCACTACGTGTGCAAACTTACCTAATAATAATAAATATGACTTCTTGTTGCCTAGTGGCATTTACATACTTAACACACAATTCTCATATATTTACACATCCCACAACTAAAATTTTTAGCACAAAATGGGCAGAATATAAAAATCAAGATCAATAAGAAGAAAATAACCAGGTAGAAGAAAAACAAGAGCATGGGATTGAGAAGGTACCTGTTCAATTCTCTTTTCAAGAGAAATACATCGCGGCAAATCTGGAAACTGAAGAGTCTCCTCAGCCTAACTGTCTGCCGCCTTTCCGTCCTCCGCAACCAGCGCAACGCCCGCTGCTCCCATGCTCGCTCCGACATAATCCAGCTCCTCCTTCTTAACCAGCAAGACCGTGCTCTCATTCGCGTACGCCGAATTTTACTGACACGCGATCCCTTGCTGCTTTATATTATTATCACCTGTTTTTGTGGATTTCGAATGCAGGCGGAGCTTTTGATCAAGGAGCAGAACATGGCTGATGGCTTCGCTATGGTGGAGAGCTACTGCCATTCCCTCAGCGGCCACGCTTTCCTGCTCATCTCTCTGATCTCTCTAGAATTATCAGTAATGAGATGCAATGTTTGGGGGAGTGCAGGGAGTGCCCTGAGGAGCTAAAGGAGGCGGCGGCGGCTCTCTGTTTTGCCGCTTCGCGGTGCGGTGACTTGCCGGAGCTGCAAGAGATTCGTAAAATCCTCTCATCGCTGTTCGGCAAAGATTTTACAGTGGCCGCTGTAGAGCTGCGCAGCAACTGTGGAGTCAACGCAAAGGTGCATCTGAATTTTCATTACGGGGAATATTGCTTTTCATATTTTCTATAATCATATTAAAATATACAGTACGGAAATGAAATGAAAATCATTTCGAAAATTTATATACACAGCATACAAATGCTTTATATTTATATAACTAACACCAAAAATTATATATTTACATTTATAATAACTTGATGACATAAAACTCTGCATTAAAAAAAAAAAAAGCGTATTTCATTTTTTGAGAAATTGGTGAGAGCTGATGTTAATGATTTGAGTGATATGAATGTAAACAAGAATTCTGAGCTGTATTTAAAATTTTAAATGCCCCAAATTATTTTTGGCAAACATGTCTTGTATACGAATCCTGGCATATTTCAACGCCACTTTTCCGTGCATTATTATTGCTGTGCTAATTTAAGGACTTTTTTGTTCACAAATTTAACAAAATTTAAACACATTATGTTTCATTCAACATATTTTTATGATATATAATACGAATATTCTGCTAAAAAAATATTATGTTAAAAATAACATAAATTTATTGGTGAAAAGAGTATTTCTCTTTAAGCATAAGGAGAGTATACTTAAAAAGAAAAAAAGGTGATGTTCATATTATTGCTAGTTCCGTGATCAAATGTTATAAACTTTCTTATTAACGAACTTTACTAATTATTTTAATTTCATATTTTGATGATCAACATTCCCATTTATGCATTCATGCCGTTAAGATTATGACACTTCAAAATTATGAAGATTAATTTCTACAAAAATGCACATTATTTTCTAAGGGAGTTCCGACTCTTCTGGAAACTGAAAATACATTGAGAGCTTTTTTTTCGACAATGTTAGTAAGTCAATGAACCAATACATGTTATAACAGAAGAGATGATGGCCCAGTAATCGGGCATTTCTTCGCTCGCCAAAATGTCTTATGCTCGAAGTTCACCGGCCCTAAAAAATGAAATGTAGATGCATATCACTCAAATCTTTTTTTAACATCACATCAAAATATCCCTATTGTTATCTTGTTAAAATTTAAAATACACATTTATATGCATATATTTACGACACTAAAGTGCTCTAAGTGCATACATGTACTTTTAGGTGATAGGAATTGCAAGGCATGTATTTAAATTTTCCTAAAATTATGATACATATAACTATTTTAAACGTGAAAATATTGAAAATATATTACTTTCGAGTGAGTGTAAAAAACATTACAAAAGTACCATTAATAGACAGCCAACGTATACAAAAACATTAATAGCCAACAAGCTGATAATTCATTTTCCAAACAACATACATGCATGAAAAATTATTAGGCCATTAATTTTAAAATACATAATGTTTATAATGTTGTACAACGGGAATGCACCACAGTGAATCGTGAAAAAATCCAACGGATCAAATGGCAAAAAAATACAACTAAGAGAGGCCCACCAATAAAAGATCAGCAGACCCACTTGTCCAACTGGATATAACAACCTGAACCAAAGCCAAGGCCAAAGCCAACTGGACGCAGTCATCTGAGTCTAAGCCAATTAAACTAAATGCATCCAAATGGTTTGAGCCTGAACCCATCAAACCAAGATATAACAAACAGGCAAGCACATCATTGGAAAGCATATCACAGCAAGAAATTGTCCATTTAGTATATTAGTTCCGAGGAAAGACTCAGTTCCTCAGTATCATCAATCATCCCGCGGACAACCCAGCTGCTCCTTATCAGAGATCAAGAAATAACCATGTCATAAGAAGTCTGTCATTTCTCCAGCTCTCTACGTTGGGGAGTGGGCCACCTATCAGCTATCGAGTTAAGGTGATTGACTCTTTGCCCAATAAACTAGCATCACTCTGTAGACAAGGAGCTCCCCAGCAAGAATCGAAGGTCGACAATCATACTAGATCAGCCAATAGCATAGCCTAGTCAATCGCGCTAGTCAATCGCGCCAGCCTTGCCGACCCGAAATCGATTGAAGGTTGACTAGCTTCCTCAACTCAAAATAGCCGACCAAGCAGGTCTTACTAATCCAAGGCCCATCGAGCTCAATCGACAGAGCTATAAAATCATACATATAAAATACCTAAAATATCCCCTATTAAAGCAATGGCAAACATGTAACTTCACATATTGTACCCTTTTTTTATAAATAGATAATCATTTTCATATCGACAAAACATTTTTATCGTTCATTATCGTGTATTTCTCTCTTTATCTTTCTTCTTTCTTACGCTTCAACCTTCGATGTGTGATTCACAAACAAAACAAATTCAACAATTATAAGAGTGAAACCGAAAGATCGTGAATTTTTATGTTGACTCATCATTTTAGGTGATAAAGAGAATTAAAATTTAGCTTTATAATGTCAATATGCATAACCTGATGCTAACTTGTGTAATTATGCGATAAAAAATGCTTTAATTAGTTGGTTGCTCATCTTCCCCACAGATGGTGCAAAAATTCTCCTTAAGATCACCGAGCTTGGAAAGCAGGGTTAATGTGATGAAAGAGATTGCTATGGAGAAAGGAGTCAAGCTGGAACTCATCAACAGCCATTTCTCAGAGCTTTCAAAGGTTAGGTACAATGCAGAAGTTTATCAACTCAAATGTAGAATCAAATCATGAAAAATATGTGAAACAAACATGCAGGTAGATGAGTCTGCTAGCCAGTGGACTGAAAACCAAGTAAAAGAGATGGCAACACCGCACCTCGATTCTGCTGGTTGTTGGGATGATAATGTGAAGGTGAGGGCTCAAGATGAGTACGAAGATGTAGTGAGTGCCGCGCAGGCTGCATTTGAGTCAGCCTCGTATGCTGCAGTCGCGGCGAAGGCTGCTGTCAAGCTATTCCAGTCTGAAGCTGGGAAAAGATGCTCCAGCAATGAGAGCTCTTGTATGAGAGTGGAGCTTGAGGACCACATCAAACACTTGGTGGGAAATACCGTGCAAGAGAAGCAACATATTCAGGCTTCAAAATGGAGATTACAGGAGCAAGGGTTGAATCCGAACAGATCAGGAGATTACTCACCTTTAGCTTCAAGGTCCAGTTCCATTGATAATGGCTTCTACAAAAGCAAAGTGAGATTTCCTGAAATGGATTTGGAGAAGAAGGGAGAAGACGTTTTACCAGAGAGCAGAGTGTGGAGTTTCAGAGAATTAACAGCTCATGAGACCCAGGCAAGAATCTACTTTGATGGAGACCACAAGTTTGAAGATTCGGAACTGGGGGTTAGAATTCTCGGTGTCCGTTCGGAGTCAAGAAATAACTTGGCAGCTCACTTTCCTACTATGGGTAAGGGATCCCCGAGATGAAATGCTGCAGAAGAATATACAGAGCATCCAAGCAAATCCAATGCAGAAGCAAACTTTATCCATAGTTACGAGTTGTATCTTTTAAGATTAAACAAGTAGTATTACAGTAACTAGTGACTAAATAGTCCACAAAAGTATTACATTTCTATCTATTACTGTTTGGAAAAATAAATGCATTCGAATTAGCTTAAAAATCCCTTTACAAAACTGAATCCAAACGTAAGAAAGAGTATGGTGGAATAAATCATTGTGCTGTTCTTCTTTTCTTATTGGTATTCATCAGTTCACTAAAGGATTGCAGGCTAACTCCAACATCTTCATCATATTCGAGGCCAAGCTCCTCCTATCATCAGTGATGGAGCTGTTAGTAAAATCTAAGGAAATGAGAAGGGTGATGGCTCAGGTAAAAAACCTTGAATTCTTTGGCATCCTTTGGTGAATTCTCTGTTATGGCATCCCACAAATCTTTGAAAATCCTCTTCCGCTTCCTCCAATGGTTCATTTTTTCAATGAATGTCTGTTCAATCAATTTTTTCTCTTCTGGTTTCACTAAAATGACCCCATTCCGCAATTTCTCCAGCTTTGCCTCCATTTCATTAACCTGAAGTAAATATGTTTTAGGCTCCTTCAAAGACAGATTATTAAGAGGAATTGTTAAGAAAAATGTGATTTTGGTTGCCTCTGTCTGTAGTTTTGACTGTTTTGACCGTATTTCCTCCAATGTCAAATTTGATTGCAGAACTCGAATTTCTGAATAAAGAGAACACGTTTAAACTGTAACAGTGCCTTTAAGAGAGTAAAATTATTATCATTTTAGCTTACCAGCCTCAATCTCTCTTACAGCCTGCTTTTGGGAATTAATTTGCTCTTGTAATTGGCTATTTTCCCTCTTCATCTGATCAAGCTCTTGACTGCTGAGTATCTTGAACTGATCTTGCCGAGCAAGGTAAATCTTCTGTTTGCCATACTCCTTAAATGAAATCTGCCCAGTGTCGGCGAGTGTATCCAAAGCTTTCTGGATAGCAGATTTTTTGAGATTATACTTTTGCAGCGCATCAGCAACATTTTGGGAATTCAGTGGTCTATTTTGCTGACAATAGAAATATTGTGTTACTCCAAAGCATGCAGTGAACATCTACATTTAAGGCACTAGTTAATTTATCAAAATACTGATACGTAAAACAAATGATAAGAAACTAAAAATATTTCAGGATCTGTAACAAGGTTGCCCAGTGACGACGAAAATTCCTTGCTAAGAAAAAAATTGAAAAAGATTCAATTCAGAAGCATAAATTAAAATCTTTTGACCATTTTTCCAATCACAAGAATATTTAGACAGTAAGTGTTATTGAGATGAGAGTATTTACGACACTGATTTATTGGCAGGTTAAAGAATGGTGGTAAAACTACGCAATTCTTTGTCAAACATCCAGAAAATGATAGAGATGATAGCGCCATACACAGCAAAAAGAACTAAACAAACTTGAGGTCAAGGATACTCAAACTTTATCTGAATTGGAAAAATATTAGTCAAGCATTAGGATTATATTAGACTAAATGGAAAAATAGCCGATTTGTTTATTTCATTAAGGTTAGAAAAGGGCATGTATGAAGGTTTAGGTATGGGTACCAAACATAACTTCCTTGCAATAAGCTTACTATAAATGAATATTAGATCCCAAATGAATGCTAGTTAAATGGTTTTGAAACCGATATCATGCGGGAAAAGAAAAGTGGAAAGGAAACACTTCTTTTGCAGAAAAAAATATTAGACTACGGTATGATGTGTGGCCATCTCATTGGCAAATAAAATCTACCCACCATATAAAAGCAGACGCAAAGCTAGTTTCATAGTAACTAGGGCTTGATTAACAATAAGTAGTAGAGAACAGAAATATAGAACCACATTAGTTCTCAATTCAGAGGAGCTCAATCTGAGTTGGGTGCGTGTTTGTTCACAGTTAGGTAGGTGATGTATGGAGATCAATTAACATGGAAGTAGGTGAAAAGTTCAAATGGGCTGGCAATGATACAATGAAAGGGATGTCATTGAGGCATTTAGCAACGGGGAGTGGTCCAATTTTACATAGCTGCAGTTCAGGTTATGTTCCTGCTAGAAATCTTCCTTCACGAAGGTGAATTGTAACCAAATCACAAACAATAAATGTATTTCATTTATGATGTTGGCATGCTTGTTGCTTACAGATTTGGGTATTCTACGTCAATTTGTTCTTTCCATTCTGTAATTTTTTTTCCGAACTCAACAACCATCTTATCCATTCTCCCAAATGGAATCCAGGAAAGAATGAGTGGCATATAATCCTGTGTATTGTGATGTTCCTTTCAATGTTTGCCAAATCAAACGCCTCTCAACAAACCAGTAGACATCCTGATAAATTTTGGATAAGAAAATTAGGATTGAAAAGGTTCTAGAATTGTCTCTCCATGCGTGGGCTACCAGACCACGACCATGCAGGCCTTTGAGTTAGTTGTTGACAGAGAGAAATGTTGGGAATACATAATTGATTTACTTTCCAGTACAGTAATACTAGATTGAACTGAAATTGGTAAGCTAGCCCATTTACTCAAAGCATCCACAACTAGGTTAGCTTTCTTTGACCTTGCATTTAAAAAAAATAATAACTTTTGACAGCAAAACACCCATTATTGAACTGAAATTGATAAGCTAGCTCACCTACTCAAAGCTTCTTGAATGGACTTCGAAATCTGAATACTATCAATGTTAGAAACAAAAGCATTGTATAATAAGAATCGCTTCCCATAAACTACATATACTGAAATTGGATACTAATGCAGCTTTCCTTTGTCACCAGAATCAGAAAAGGACGAGATAACTCGTGAGTACCAAACTCCTTAGCCAAAATTTCAGTTGAAAGCAGACTCAGAATTTGGTTTGAGCATTTATTTCCTTGCAAGTTATCTTTCACCTGCTCAAGATTTTTCTTCATCGTTGTGTACACCAGTAGTTTTTGGTTTTGGACTTTAAGTTGGGTTGATTGATTTGATTGGACATCCTCAATCAGAATAGGAGGGCTAGATGGAGTAGATCGTGAGGGACTGTAAATGTCATCAAGTGCATCCAAAAATTTATATTCATTTGCACTCTTCCTCAAAACGTCAATTTTGGGGTATTATGATTAATTAATTTTTAAAAAAATATGGCATCCATGGAGTTGTAGTATTTTATGGTAACAGTCGAGTGGCATTTATACCATTTTTGTTGGTGGCATGCCCAAAAAAAAAACATTAAATAGAACTTTGGTCCAGTTTTGTGCAACTTTAGGGATGGACGTGAAAAAAGGATTCGCGCCTAAAGATTTTAAGATGTAAGATAGAACAGAATGCTCTGATGTGAGGATAGGTGTCCATCAAAACATGAAGAGATATTTTGAAGTTAAGTATCTGGATAAACATTCAATTGATAAAGTATGTTGCAATAAGTACTGATTTCCCCCAAAAATATTTTGGAAATTAATAAGATATCATAATTTTGTGGGATAACTCAATGAATATCTATTATTTCTCTCAACTATCTCATTTTGTTGTGGGGTATCATGAGCTTAATCTAGACAATATGTTTACAAAAAGCATTTTGATCACACAACTTTGTGTTGACTCAAAGGATAAGGAATCAATGTCACTATAGGAAATGTGATGATTGATTAAGTCTATATATGAGATATTGCTGAGTTGTGGAACCTAGTTTTTATCCTACAAAGAAAACGCACTACACATATTTAATAGTGGATCTCTTACAATAAGGCCATCATATAGAGGTTCGAAGAAGGCAAAGAGCCCTTCTCTCGAAGGTTCCACAAAAGTAGCAAATAATTGCAAGTTATTTCATTATATGTGTTTCGGTGATTCTATTGTATTTTTATCTTGCCCATTTTTCTCTTAGAAAAGGAGGGGCTCATTTTTATGCTGCATAAGAAAATTTTGGGCTTTGATTCTCTTCAACCTAGCTATAGTGAAATATGTAATATGTGACTATAATTTTCTTTGTACATCCATATTTTTATTTTATATTCTTTTTCACTCCTGATGATTTAATTAGGTTGCATATGTTTCTCAGAAAAAGTGCCTCCCAAACCCACCAAAGCTAGGTCGATAGTTCTGGTTGGGCCTATAACCAAGGAAAACACCAGAAAGTAAATGCCAAGCTTCAAGCGGTCAACACTGATATCCGGTAGTTGGCACCCATTGCCAAGTGCTCATGCACTGAGTGCCGAACTCTCACGCACTAAGATGACATCGCTCAACAAGACTCACAAACATTCAGCAACATCATTCTGACATCTAAATGGTGCCCCTAAAGACCATTGAGTAGAGTTCAAGAAGTCTAATATATAAGTAAAGAAAAAGAAAAATTAAACAAAAAACACCACGCTTATAGTAAATATTGATAAATAATTATATTAAAAAGAATGTTGAACAAATATCTATTAAAGATAAAGAAATTAAAAACATATTTGGATATTTAGATCAGTATAATGAGAGGTATATAATGTATCATTAGACAATTAGATAAAATCAATGGAAAGAGATCAGAAAGAAAAATGAGTAAATAGACACAATGTCAATGAAAATTGTTCAAGCAAATATGTGAGAAATAGGTTTAGCATCACATACAAAAATTAGTAGGAATGAATGGAAATGAATGATTCAAGAAGCCAATCTCAAAAAGACAGGACAATAATGTTGAATTATTGTTGATGATGATGATGAGAAGAATATAAAATTTGATGAAAATTGTTGAGATTTGTATGTAATATAAGGTTCTATTTGTAAATAGAAGAAGTCTAGAGATTTATTTGTAAATGTTGTAAGACTCTATATAAGCCCAACCATTAATGAAACGGGTAGGTTTTTCAGAGCAATTAATTCTTTATAATATCAGATATCAAACCCTAGCGGTTGCTACAGTTCCCTATGTGTGGATTACGGCTTACCAGTTCCAGCAATTAGAAACGACACTGTGTGAGGCGAAGCAGAAGAAGGGAGCGTGTAATAGAAACTGAATGAGCAGTGGAGTGGCAAGGAAGTAGCAACTCTGTGGCGAGGTTTCGGGCGCAAGGATCCTGCAATTTTGCGTGTGGGATTGATGGTGGGAGGAAGTAGAGATCGAACGGCTCGGTGCAAGAAGGAAGGAACGAGCAGTGTGGATGGCTCGCGCGTAAAGCGAGAAGGAAACGAAGCTTGATGAAGCTTGCAAAGAATGGAGCAGTAGTGGGATTCGTTCAAACAACTTTAGAAGGAACGAGCAGTGCAACTAGCTCGTGCGTAAGGCAGAAAGAAAATGAAGCAGAAGTTTCCGCTTAGGGCAGAGCAGATAGCACAGATCTGCAAGGGGGCGTTCGACGAGGCATGCAAAGGATAGAGCAGGCATAGGATTCGAGGATTTCGAACAGCTCTAGAAGGAACGAGCGATGCAACTAGCTCGCGCATAAGGCGGGAAGGAAACAAAGCAGAAGTTTCGGCTTAGAGCAAAGTAGATAGCACAGATCTGCAAGGGGGCATTCAATGGGCTTGCAAAGGATGGAGCAAGTGTAGGATTCAACGATATCGAACAGCTCTGGAAGAAAGGTCGTGTGTGTTCTATGTGTTATAGGCTTATATAATTGAAGATGTCAGGAGTTGGAGGTAGTACGTAAGATAAAAGATTGAAAATTTTGAGAAAGATAGATCATAAAGTTCTGAAGGCCTTGATTGGGTTAATACATGGAGCCAGTGTCTCGACAGGAGCCACTACGTCAACACGTGCTCTGAAGCAAGTGAAACTAGATCCCTTTCTGCCGATTTGAAGTTTGATGGACCGGCCACTTATCTAAGTTGGTCGGGTCGAATTGAGGCTTCTCTAGTATGGCAGAGAGTGGAAGGATACCTAACAGGGATCGAACCAAAAAGTGACAGCGCTGAAGGGGATAAGTGGAGGACCATACTTGAACTGATTTGAACCTAGATACTAAACTCGATGGTTCCATTGATTGCTACATCAATGGATAGCAATTGAAAGGTGAATGGCATCTGGGCAAAGTTAAAGATGACCTATGTTAGGACTAAGAACAACATGAGGATTTTTATTATTCAGCGTGACATAGACGCAATGGTACG